ATAATGTGCTCTATACTCTGAATGCGCGGATGCATTGGAGGCAGTTTCATGCATTTACCTTTGACACTATGTGTAGCGTTCATTTTGATAGAATGTAGAGAAGAGTTTCTCTTAAGACAGGAAAAGTCCCAACTCAGAGCTAACGTGTCGTAATTATAATAGTTCAGACAAAAATCATGGTTTGCTGGCAGGTCCAAAGCGCTGCCCTCACGCAACCCCGTAGCAGCATTATTATCAAAAAAAACCATTTTAAGTGGGACTTAGAGAGATAACTTCTATAACTAATTCGTAATTAGCAGAGAAAAAACCACGGGATTGAGGAGACGCAGATGCCACGTTGACCCTCAGTAAAAAGTACTCCGAAGGACTTTTTACTGGAGGGTCAACGTGGCAACGTGGTACCTGCGACTCCTCAGTCCCATGTTCCTTCTTTTCTCTGACCAACTCCACTAAGTAGGAGCTATCTCACATATTCTTCAGCTGCTTTGTGCAGCCTTTTCTCAGCTTTTCGTTAGTTTCTCTCTTGTTCTTGTTGTTCTGTGCTTTTCAAATAAATTAGGGATTTTCATGACTTGAATTAGGGTTAATCGCGGTTGTCTGACTCCTTATTATATGATGAATGCCTTTAATCACCATCTCTGATTGGGAGTTAAGGGTAGTTTACTACCGTTTCTGTTCATGAGCGAGTACACTCATTTGTTTTTGTATTGAGAATCGCGTCTTTAGCAGTCAACATCACAAAAGTATCATAAGCGATTTCACAGGCAGGATCAACCGTGCGCTGCGCAGTCCTCAAGGAAGGGTAGGGGGTCTGGACGTATCTGGTGTTGGTGAAGGTCAGAAGATGGGAAGGGAAGAGGTCGTTTTTGGAATTTAGGGGCCATCGTGGCACCGGAGAGGGGCAGTGTTTGACGGGGTTTCGATGATTAATGCAAAAAAAGAAATAAATAAAAGAAGTCATAATGGTGAGAGTAGTGGTCGAGAGTAGCGAGGGTGGTCATATCGGGGACTCAAGTTGGTGGGGGTCATATCCCCTACCCTATAAAAGGGAAGCTCGTCAAATGTTTGAAATTGGAACAAGGATTAGATTCTGTTTACAGAAGAAGAATGACAATTTGGAGAAGGAAACTGCAAGTTAAACTTGCGCTGGAACATTTATAACAGTGTTTGTTTACATGCATGCGCACTTTATGTATTTACAAGGAATGCTACAGGTACAAGGAATGCTACAGGTTATTTTACCAAGGCACAGTAATCGCACAGTGATTGGAATGTCGATCTTCTAGGACTTGTTCGTCGTCGTGACGTGCGAAGTTCAGTGGAGAGAAACTATCTCCTGTTTTCCTTCAGTGATGGGCTTGATGAGGTTTTCGTTTTTGTCACACGGAGGACGAAGAAAGTCCTGAAAATGGAGCTCGTTCTAATCATAAGCTGAATTTTTATATGAAACAGCTGCGGATCATCTATACTCTATTTCGGAAGACGAGAAGAGCTCAGATCGTATAACACACCACAAGTGCGACTCAGAAGAAAAGTCACTTGTTTTTGGTTTCGATCACTGTGTTTGCGTCCTGCACTCGACGCTTTTCTGTCTCCGAAAATGTGTGTGTAAATGATCTCAACTTCAACTTGCACCGTCATTAATATGTACTGAAATTGCGCTATACCTCGTAGCAAGGGGAGGGAGAGGAGGGGGGGGGTAGTCCTATGGAACGAGTAAGGAATTAGGAAGTTGGCGGGGAATGACCCAAAAGAGTTCGCTGTGGTGAATCCCGTCTCGCGACGTTTTCCCCTCCTTTCCACACTTTTTCAGTCGTGGAGGTCGTGCCTCCAAGATTTAGTGTGTACATGGGTGTGTGTGTTGTATGTTGCACTGGGATCATGGATCACGTGTGAAACTTATTGCGACAGTTCATGCACGAACAGCAGTGTCCTGAAAGCCACACCTTGTGGGTACAGAATGACACCTGGGCGGAGCCCAGAGGGTGCATGGAACGATGTGCGTGGTTGAGCGGCCTAGACTCGTGACATCGGTAAGAGGGAATCGGAAAACATTCAGAATCAGCAAAATAGACAGTCATTTTGAAGTTAATAAATTAAAGCCACGAGTCAGGATTAGGTGACCATAGAAGGCCTTTCCATCACTAATATTTCCAGGAATGCGCTCAGAGGGGTGATGCCACACTCCTGACTCGAGATTGCGCGCCGTCAAGGCCTCTGGCCTACTACTTACAGCGATGGGTTCGTTTCATCAGCTGGTCCCGCCCACCGCGGGATGTGGTGCGTGGCTGGCCTAACGTGTGAAATCAGCTAGGTTGATTGCCGTATCAACCGATGGAACGGCTGGCATATCCGGAAAACTCGTTTGGACGTGGCTCTCCCCAAGCAAGCCTCCTTCACTGCTAGTGGGAAAAGGGTTTCGTTTTCGGCCTTGTCGACGGTTTCTCGTTTTTCTCCACTGTCGTTCCACTTCGCATCTCTATACTCAGTTTCAATCGCCATAATACCCCATATTGAGCCCGACTTTTGCCTTTAAAGTGTAATAGGATATTGAAATGTTCCTGCCTTGAAAAGGGGCAAATTTCCCAGTGTGACACACCAAGGAGCAAACGGGAGCGCACTGACCGCCAAAATATCTGACGGTTAGGTCTAGGGGGGTTTAACGAGTCGTACTGATTTTTCCTCGGCAAAACGGACACAATCCTTTCCCCCTTCCCTTTCTTATCAGGAGCGATTGGTCCCAAGACACTAACTAAAGGCAAAGTCCGGGATCACTGATGTTTACTGTTGGTGACAGTAGAGATGTGAAGTGTTGCGTGAGAAATGAAAAAATGGGAAAAGCTGGCGAGGACGTAATAAAGTCCCTCATTCCAATCGCGGCGAATCGAAATATGTAGCATTGATTTGTGAGCAGGGTCAGTGATGTTGGGCAGGGCTAATGCTGTTTCCTTGGACTTTAGCTTATCAGCCTTGTCACTTCACCCCACATTGTGTCCCCCCGCTTCCGTAGCACTGCATTTTCTCGGGAGGACTCAATTTCGACTCGCCCATAAGGGAATCGTAGAATCATGCAGTTCCACGATTACCTTAAAGGAGGAATCGTGATAAGAACGAAGATCAAAGAAGGGAGAAATTGCATATTAGGGGAATTCGTGAGAACGAAGGTCAAAGAAGGAGAAAATTGCATAGTTGGGAGACAGGCGGACCTCCTCAAAGGTGCCCTCCGACGCGCAATTGGCAGCAAAAGATTCGACGCGGCGATCTAGCATGGCTTACTCTTGACGCGGTCGGCGGGGTAGCCCACCGAATATTTATTCACTCGCACAGATTTATTTCTGGTGAGCGATTAAAGCAGAGAACCGTTGTTGAGGAGGGCACAACGTTGGGAGTCGCATCAATGCGCAAACCGACGGGCAAGAGAGGGGTCCCGATTCACGGGTTCCGGACCGTTCCATATGATCTTCTTAATCCTGTCAATCGACTCTTATCTTTCAATGAGCTAACTTTTCATCGTGAGTTTCTTCCTTAAAATACCATCTCTCGTTTCTCCCTTTTTTTTTTCGGTTTCAGCCCCAACTTCTCTTCCGCACGTAACCTTTCGAGTATTCGAACAAACTCAATGTGTGCAACGATCAAATCGATGGCAACATCGTTTTTCGTCGTGGGAGGGTGTTGTGTATTGACGTCAGCGTTATTTCAGGCGTTGAGTCGGTTGGCGAATTCTTCAAGTGGTTCCTGAATGAGAATTTAACAAGTGCTAAAAGTTGGACAAAAATCCTCAGTAGATTGTTTCTCGTTTGCGTCGAGCGGAGCAAGCGAACCTACAATTGCAAAAACCTCTTATATGATCTCAAATGGGAAGGTCTGCGGTGCCATGGATATGAAAGGTTGGCAGGATTCGTGACCTGAAGAAGCAATGAAACGTACTGAAATAAAATACCTCTTTATGGTTATATATAGATACGCGGATTCAGTGGCAAAACGAAGAATTCATGTAGCCAGGGCTTGATAGCCAGGTTTACCATGGGGGGGGGGGGGAATTGCGAGCGGAACTGTCCAATATGCGCAAAGGCTTAGATGGCGCATATACACTATTTTCGTAGATGGCGTACAGTTTCCGACATGTCGACTTTCATGAGATTAGACCTGCTCAGATCTGTCCCTCTCCTAAAAGTCTGACTTGAGTTGAAATCGAAAAGTCGAAGCTATCATAATACGATGCGCACATTATAGCGTACTTGGGCTAGATCGCGAGTGGCCGCCAATGCCATTACCGCATGTGAATGATCAGCTCGTTTGCCTATTTTGCCAAAGGGAGAATTACAATTTGTTTGGGGAGAAACCACGGCAAGGGGACCGTCACGTTCCGGTAGACGTAGCACGTTTTACTATATGTTTAGTTGTTTAGGACTGAAAAAGTCCAGCCGCACCACTTAATCGCCTTGCCAATCGTACGTCTGCATCTGCGTCAACGAGTTTCATAGTGAATTTCTCGCGGATTCGTTCATCATAAAATGTCAGAATTCCTTCGACAATGATAACGTCTGCTGGTTCAAGACATAGCATGCCATCACTGAAAGGATACACATTTTTGGCCCGGACCTGAAGTAGTCCCGGCTCGAAATCAGGAGACGAGAACTCGCAATCAATGACTTTAGGTAGGAACGGACCTACGGTGACTCCATTTTTGTCACACGAAGGATTAAAGAAATGTGGAGAACAGGATGATAATGACATCTATAATATAAAGTTGTGATAAAGTCGCCCGACCATTGACCCTCACGGGAAACGTATGCGACATAAATTGCAACGGTAACGTGCAAATCTGCAGCGACATTTTTCTCCGAATATTGCTTGTCATTTTCAAATCAGAGTGGAATTGAGCGTTTTTTACTGGCAAGTTAATCGTGCGTGGTATGGTTACCGTGCACCCCTGCTCCAGACGAGAAATCGTGTCCGCCAGTTTATCGAAGTCGAATGCGGCTGAAAGCAGTAATCCTCATTCTACACTTTGACCTGTGGAGGCGCTAAATGGATCGACAGCCTGATATTATTCCTCTTTCTTTGCTTGCAGATTCCATCACTTTAGCGGGTCAGTATGGATTGTATGGAAATCTGAAGTGAATATGGATGCGATATGGGCGATAGAGTGAGGAAAAAATGAATAGGAGGCGACGACAGGCCAAAAACGAAAACCCCCCGCCATAGGTTGGAAGAGGTCTTCTCGGAGAGAGCACGTCAAACGAGTTTTTAAGGAAATGCCAGCCGTTCCATCGGTTGATACGGCAATCAACCTAGCTGATCTCACACGTTAGGCCAGCCAGCACCACATCCCGCGGTGGGCGGGACCAGCTGATGTAACGAACCCATCGCTGTAAGTAGTAGGCCAGAGGCCTTGATTGACGGCGCGCAATCTCGAGAGGCGCATGCATGGTGTCCCCTCTGAAGCACAGTCTAGCCATGTGGTGAGGAAGGCCTCCCTCTATGGACCGCCTTATGTCTTACTTCGTGGCCCTTTAAGCAAGGGTACTGTTTTTTGATCGAATTTATTTCTGTGAGAATAAAATCAGGGTACGAAGCGAGAGATAATACAACTTTCAGGATGATTTGACAAGTCCGAGGGGACAAGGCTCCAGTATGCGACACTGGCCCCGCCCAACAGCATTGAACCCACCCATACCCATGCTACTTCTCTTGCTGCTGATTCTTTGGCTAGCGTTACACTTCTTATCTCCACTGTTTTCAACAAGGGTAATAACACATCAGTTTAATCCCGAAGTTTGTCATTAACTACCACAGTGATTGGGTATACAATTCGGACGTGAAGTATATCGCACAAGCGCTGACTCGACATTACCCAAGACTTTGTGGAGTATTGCTGACTGTAGTGAACGTTATGTAGGAGGATGTCTGATGGATGAAACGACTCGTCAAATACCACCAAATCAAAATGTTCCGATTACGAGTAGGCATTACTATATTTATCGTTCTCTTGAAGGAGCATTTATACGAAGTGATACGAACAGCCGTATAAGAGGTATTTTGTTTTGTAGAGACTTTACCGATACCGTAACCTACATGGGTGATCAAAGTCGTATAGTCCGAGTTCTGCTCGTGCTCGTTCTTCTTCACTAAGTTCTTTGTAGAAGGATTCATCGAGATGGTTATAACTCAACAAATTTCATATCGAAACCTTCATGTGTATCCCATGCGATTAATAAGTATTCCACGATTCCAGCAGTGGGAGCTTGTGCAAGATACCTGGCCAGGAAGGCCTTTCAGGGATGCGATGCGTTTTTCGAAACGTCTTTGCATGATTTAGGCCATGCAGGAGCATAGACTGGTTAATTTTTTTACGGCCTCTGAATTCAAAGGTGGATCCTGAGTTTCGTATCCTGAGTATTAGTTTCAAAATTTCAGTTGAACGGATTCAAAATTGCGCGCAAAATGGGAGTTACTAAACATTAGTCCATATTCATAATTAGGACCGTCTACCACGTTAACCGAATGCAAAGTTACACAAGAGAATTTTGGAACAGGGACTCTTTTTTGGACCACGAGGACGTTTTAGGAAAAATTAACGATTGTTCTGTGATGCCCGCAAGTGCCCCCTATATCATGCGAATATCCGTTCTGAAATAGCTTGGAACCCCCTAAAAGGCCTTCCTGGTGCGTTCGCCTTTGGGGTCCAGTCATACCTGTTCACTGCGAGCCTTCCTTGAACTCTCGAAATCGGTCCATGATTCTTTGAATTACTGAGGTCTGAAAACTAAATCATTATTGGAATGTAATAATGTGTTCTGTTTTCTGTCGACTAGCCCCTTAGTGGGGATGTGCACTGATTTCGCACGCACTTAGAATTTGAGCCCTGACTTCGTGCGCGTGCACGAGACATAAATCACTGTTCTGTAGTGTCTAACGTAGGGATCGTGCAAATGCTGTAGGTAAATTCTAGGTAATTTCTCAATGGCCACTACTGCAGACACAGCAAGAAGGAAACTGCGGGGGTCCAGTGACTGCACCAGCGCTTGCGTTGCCTCCTGGACCAGTATGTACCCGTTCTAGTCTGGACGTCACTACATAACCGTGGACCCCCTTCAATCACGTGTAGTACTTCCGTTTTGGTTTTCCTGTTTACTTTCTAACCCTGGCTGGCAAATGTGCATGTATACAGTAAATTAGCTTCCCTAATGGTTCACTATCAAATAACCAACCTTTCCAGACGTTGGCCCTCCAGAAACTCCAATTATGAAAGGCCTTCGTAGCTCCATATCCGTCACGTACAGTGCTTCTTTCAATACAGTAACAATTCACTGAAAAGAGCGGCTCACATCAAGCTATTACTAATTCGTTCCTGTTTCGATAGAGAGCAAGCAGAAAATCAGCAGAAGCAGCAAAAGAAGAAACAATTACAGGCGAAATAAAGAGCCTTAGGAAAGAGGCCAAAAGTCAGCAGCAAGTTTTTTGCTTTCAGAAGACTTACTTAGAAAAGATGGTAGGAAGGTGAACGATACCTTGAGGAATCATTGAGAAGGGTCGGTTTGAGGGGTGAAACTCCAGTTCGGGGGGGCACTCCATTGCTATCTTATCCGTAGTACTAGAGAGCAGTTCTTTGGGCTATCGAACACTACGGATAAGATAATAAGTGAACGACTCATTTCGAGCGTACTTTTGATAAGGACCGGTGGATGTCCTACATTCCACACTACCTGCCCACATCCCATCCACTTTTCTGCACAGGTGATCCACCCTGGAGCTCCTGCACCCTTAGCCCTTTGCGGAGGTGTGAAACGTTCAGGGTTTCTCACCCATTACACCAATATTTATCAGAAGTCTACTTTAAATGAGTCGATTACGTGTCGTGAGCCCTCTAATCCTTATCTTGAGTATTGGAGAAAAAATGGAGTGGCCCCCCGAACTGGAGTTTCACCGTTTGAGGATCACCCGGATGACGCAGCAAGCTCAAAGCACTATCCAACCTCATCATTGTAAGGATACTGTTAACAAAATCTGAAGTAGTCAATATAAAAAATGCAAGCAAGGCATGTTACCCGTCTCCACTACAAACCCTAACAGCTTTTTCCGGGAACCAAATTTCTCTGGAAGAACACAGTAAGACAGGTGAGCTCAATGAGATCCCTGACAGATATTCGGGGACTTCATGGAATTGTGAGCAGATCTGACGCATAACCATGATGCTAATGTCCCTAGAATGTCCACTAGTGAATCGAATGAAGGAATCAGGTAGTTGCTTCAGGTTGAAGTAATTACGGTAACTTTCCAGCTGGTGAGGGTGGCGAATAGGGGCTTGCATGTGCGTTGAAGGGCATATCAGGAACTTTGCACGGGAATGCTTCCATCGACTATGGCGCCTTGTGGGAGATAAAGCTTGCTGATGTGCGTCATGGGCCAAACATCCCTTCTTTGACCATCTCTGCACTTCCGAGGTTCCCACTAAGAATGGAGGGTAGGCCAGTCTCTTCTTTGACCATCCCCGTACTTTCGAGGCTCAAGCAGAATGGAGGGGGCCAATGTGCGTAAGTGGGGAACGAGATTGATCTGAAGACGGAAGTGAGTCGTGGGTTCTCATCTGTAGGATTGCATGTAAATGCTAGCCCTGATCTGGCGCAACCTCTATGGACTCGCCTTAAATTTCAAATATTAGCCGAATTTTTTTGACACATGGCTCATCCTGGTAGGAAGGCGTGCACTTAATGCAGGTGTACTAAAGCTATAATAGGTAGCACAAAAATCATGATACCCACTGTGAACTCAGTTATATCAGAAACGCGGACATGTCAATAGTCGGCTACACACTGTTCCCAGCATTTCCAATTGAAATATATAATCTCATGATTAAATGGGAGCCATATTATCAAAAGTTCTAGGGTCATAGAGGGCGTTCAGAAAAGAGCGCCGTCTGTCACATGTCACATGTCCAAAGCATTCTGCGGATAATACCAAGTCGAAATATGTGCCACATAACTTGTTTCGCCACATGACTACGTAGAAAGGCAAACATCATGAAGAATTTATCAGGTAATGATTCCACTAATTCTAAGCGATTGCCATCCTTCAGAGTACTTACAATTCACTAGAATGTCAGTATAATACATTAATCACGACGCTGTGGCGATGCGTTTTTGTGGTCATCAAATATCATTGCTGGACAAAACCTTTTCCAGGCCGGCCGTGTGGACACCTCTCAACGACCTTCGACCAATGAGGTTCTACACGTCATCAAAATCCGCTACCACCTCCGCCTGGCTTATTTAAAGGAATCCTCCACGGAAAAAGCTCCGCCCTCATTACCACAGAAAACGATACCTTAAAGGAATCTTCCACGGAAAGAGTGATCATTTTGTCTTGTGTGTAGGATTAGTATTATCGAAACTAACGCTTATGTTCCGTTCTTTTTGCTATGCTCATGAGGCTAGGGGCCTAAGGGGTATCGTTTTTCTGGGGTAATGGTAGAGCTTTCCGCGATGATTCCTTACGTTATTCACATCCACGGCTAGCATGCCACATATGGGCGACGAAGACATCCACTTTTTGGAAGATGATCTCTTGCGTCCTAGCTTTCACCGGTCAATACAAAAGTCAGATACAGAAAAAGGAATCATATTCGGCTCTTAATCCCCAATTATACTAAAATGGTATTTTTTCGGATGCTTTCCGTGTCCTTTATACAGACAAATATCGCCTTTGACTAACACCATATTGCATATTTTGGACGCCAGTGTGACCGCCATCTCCCACTCATATTTCTGGCCCGACCCTGAGAACCTACTAAAACATAGTGCCATATCTCGAACCGGGATGGAGGGATCTGGGTGAGCAAGCTACCCACGTGTGGGAAAAGTTGGAGAGCCCCTTTCATGCACTCATATATTCCTGCCCGCGCGTGGCTTACCCACCCGAGGCCTTCCCCGTCAGCGAAGTTTAGCCCTAACAAGTAAGGTTATCTCATCACGCCAAAAGACACAAGACGTTCGCTAGGTGCACGCCGCTGAAAAGGAATTCATGTCGTTATCGAAAACTATGAGTACCTCTAAATTCAATTACAGAGACGATAAATGTGCTGCACAGCACAGGAGCAAATTGGTGCAAAAAGACGTCAACGCCAGAATATATGTCATGTTTACTATGAAAGCCCAAAATTATTCTTATGACGAAATTTCAAAATTTTGGGGCGGAAGTGGTGTAGTGACAAGTGGCGCGCTTACCACGCGAGCGGTCCGGGGATCAAATCCTGGGTCGTGAGTCGCCCGGGCCAACCAAGCCTTCCATCCCTCCGGGGTCGGTTAATTGGTACCAGACTTGTCTGGGAGGATAAAAACACTGACTTGAACATCGGCTGGCCCCCGCAAGTCATTGTATAGGCCACATCGCATTCAAACGCCACTGCGAATGTACAAATGGAAGTAGAATGCGTGCCGCATCCCAAAAAGGGATTGATCAACGGCAAATGCTTTATCCTTTATCCTTTATATAAAAACAAGTGTCAAACGAATGCCCAAAAGTGCAACACTAGAATGTCTTTAGGAGCTCGAAGGGCGAATGCGTGGCTCATCCCGTAAAATTGCGGGCCATCAGTTCCTTACCATTTATACCATTTGTACAGTAGTCGGATTCAAAAAGTGAGTACTGTAATGGTGATAAATCATTGGCTGTAGCTACTCATTATATTTAGCCTATAGTAACGCTATAAAGCATGTTAAATTGTTGAACTGGAATAAATACTGCAAAACGAGATATAAGGGCTTTCACTGGGATCAAGAAAATCTCGAAATCAGTTCTCGAGATCATCACAAAGGAAATATGTGAGAGGCACAATGGCGATCTCACATGGCGATTGCAGGCTGCTGCAGAACGTTCGATCGGATCGGTCGCTCGGCGCTTTTTTCCTCCTTGTAATCATCGATTTGAACTGTGAAATATGTACATGCGACCGACGTCAGTTGTTTGCCCGTTGAATGCCTAGTATGTCAGAGAAGAGCACTGATGTGATCGACTGTAGCCCTGCTATGCGAAACAAGATAGGAGTGAAATACTCAACGGAATGGCTCACAATATGATCCCATCCTGGTAAGTAGAACCGACGGTAGGTGACGGCATGGCAGCAACGCAGACGATGGGGTGGGTCTTGATGAGCGCGTACCAGCCAAGCCATTCATCCGACTAGGGTATCTCACGTGGCGTCATACCTGCGTCTAAGAGAAGAAAGCAGTGGCTCGAAGATCAGTTGGCTCGTAATATCATTTCTTAGGGTGATACTGTTCCTTTTCTTGGGGGAGACGGTCAATTCAATCGTCGGCTAATGAGGTCACGCCGCTCACGCGGCGAGCAATCGTCGCGCGCGGCAGTTGGTGCGGCGATTTCTGTGTGGACCTTTTCTTAACCATCCATGTCCATAAGTTGGCTAGGTGACTGATAAGATCAGTAAGCCAGCAAGCGTCACTGTAAGATCTCCGCAGTGATTTAAGCCTCACAGTACAAAGGTTGTACCATGTAAAGGTTGTCCTTTTGAATTTAATTTGACTTCTTTATTAATCAGCTGCCTGAATTTCTATCAGAGAGTGATAATCTGGTTCAATCAGAAAGAATATCACGTTCCAAGACACAGAGGAACGGTGAGGAAAGCGCTAACATAAGCCTAGGTCCTATCCTATGTCTTGAGTGGAAACCTAGGAGCCTTTAAAGACAAGGTCTGATAGCAGTGGGCTGACCTGCTCATAGGCTGGCCCACGTAAACCATTGGATGCATAATCCATACTGCACTCAAATGCCACCACGATTCTGAGCGGAAGAGGGATGCGTGGCACATCCCAGAGAAGGATAAATCAACAATGAGAGCTTTGCTGTTTTATCTGCTCATTGAGTTTGTACGTAAACATAAATACAGCTTCTTCCAAAGCAGCTGTTTGGTCGGTAGGCCAGCTCTCTGCTTGTGACTCAAATCTTCGGTGCCGGGGTCGTACTCGACAAAACGTTCACGAGTCCTTCCGACTCCATCCGTACATTCCCCTATCCATGTTCTCTAGCAGCACTCGGTTTGAACTCAGCATTCAACAATCGAAGCCCATGCAAAATCAATATTTTTCCTTGCAAATGACCTGCAAACTCAAACAAATATGGCAACGTATTCACCAAAATATACGGAAGATTGCAGATATTCCAAATCATTATCCAAACATCCGAAATTATTAGGTCGGTCCATAATTTTTGAGAACCTTTGGTGTTTTTCGACTTAATTACTTATCTTATTTCTCTGATGTATTTATTCAGCATAGTATACATCACCATTATTACCAACATATAACCAATGCGAGGGTGGGTATTCAGTGTCCCTCTTGTAGAATTTCATAGAGTTCTGATCGAAGAAATATTGGATGTCGATTTTGACTTTATGGTGATTCAAGTGAGATTTCTTCTCCAGAAGGTGATTGAGAGAGGAGAGCGGATAGTCGTTCGTTGACGCAGGATTAGTGCTACAAGGCGGAGCTAAAAGAACTGACCGCCCGAGAGTCTCCAATTTTTTAGGAATTTTCTTAGCAAGGCGGGCTCGAACGACCTCAGAGAAAAAATAGATTTTGTCTTCCTTTGCTTTCAAGTTGAAGGCGTTGCCATCAAGCTGTCAACGATTCTTCCCATCACTGACACTGGTATTAGTTGATGCCGGTCTTCAGCGCAAAGGCCCTCCCGTATTGCGCCAACGACTCAGGAAGTTCGAATTCAGAGGGAGTTGGGCTGTCAGAACTCCCGAATCATTTGAGCAAATCTCTACTGCGGCTCGTGGCCTCTTTCACCCAGTCCACGAGCACAATGTAGTATTATAGATGTCTCAGCCGAATGAATATACGACAACAGGAACTGATGATGTCAGATTGGGTTGAGAACTGATTCGGGACTACAATTTTCCTTCGAAATTCTATAAGAGAGGCACTGAATACCCACCCTCGCATTGGCGATATGTTGTTAATAATAATGATGTATACTATGCTGGATAAGTAGATCAGAGAAATAAGATAAGTAATAAATCGAAAAACACCAAAGGTTCTCAAAAATTGTGGACCGACCTAATAGGGGGCAAAAAAACGGTCTCGAATTTCAGTGTTGCCTAGTAAAAGCTTGCATGTTGAAGATAACCGTGGTGGTCAACGATAGCAGTAAACATAATCGTCACAACTCATCCGAAAAGAAGATGTGGCCCAAGCAGGACAGTCTACGTGCTTACGTTCGAAACGACGTTATAGTAATAATGATCCCAGGATGGCAGCGTCTGGTTTTGTCTCCCATGACGTGCTCTGCACACATGATTTGCGTCAGCCGGCATTTCCATACGTGGGAGTGCCCTTGATTCTTGGTCATTGAAGATAGTAGCAAAACAATACGTGGAAAGAAAACACTCTGTATACTCTTCACTGCTGAGAAGTTCCTTTGTGGGTTTACCCTACCAATACATACTAAGAAAGAGCTTCAAGATGTGACGAGAACGCTGTTTTAGGTATTTCTGAGAATTCTAGTCTTTCATCACGGGCTGTTTACTTTGAAAACTGTTTTTTTTTCACCAATGTACTGCTCGAGATAACGCGATAGCGCTGTTAAAACCTTTTCGAACACTAACACGTACCTTTGGCCTTCATTGCGACTGAGTATAGCAACACCCTGCGCTTCCACTATCTTCGACTCAAAGTGCCTATTATTTCAGCTGCAATTCGCTTGATTACCGATAATTCCTCTCCTACTCACCCACATAACTTTATAACTTCTCCATTTTCCAGTCTGCCCGACAAGACTAAGGAGTGGCCCGCTCGCCCGTACAATCTAACTATAAGTTTCATTACACACATTGACGAAAATGCGCAGTTTGGTTCTTTGGCAACGTGTATCATGGCATTTTGCCGGCGCCAGCCTCTGACACTCAATGTCATCAGTTTATTAACAAAACCAAACAAAAACAACAATAAATGCGTAATCAACAAACGCTCTCGAACAGTCCTCTCTGCAACCGTGCCTTCATCCCAGGCTTCATTGATTCTACGAGCAGATGCAGAAGCATTCGGTTTCGAGCTCAACTTGCACTCATGTAGCAGGGCAATCTTTTTTGCTCGTGTGTAAGCTCCATAGTGAAGCAAATACACAAGTGTTGTACATCAAAATGTACAAGAGATTGCGCGCTTTCAGACTACATCATAATCTTTGAAAATAATCAGCAAAAAATCAAAGAGCCATGAGCCTGAAAAAAAACGGCGGATAATTCTCGCTCAACCTAGTAATTGCGGAGCAAACCTTGCAATTAAAGGCATAATCCAGGCAGAAGTCATGTTGAAGACTCCCTTGATCTGTAGGATTAGATCCTGAGGGGGCAAGAGATGTGGTACTACCGTGCATGGAAACCACCCGATGAAGAGCGCTAGGGCCTTGCAAAGTAAGCTGCAGCAGCTGCAACGTTTTTGGAGAGTGTCTGGCGCCCTCTCATCTGTTGCGCTCTCTCGCCTCATACTCTCCTCTCCGCGCTTAGTCTCTCGTTCCTTAGCACAGCCAATTAGGAAGGTGAGTGAGCCCTCAACCTGAGCGTTTTCGACGGATTCTTTTCCTTTTTTCTTCACTGCCGGCCCACTTGGCACCGATACATTCACATTCGTGTGCAAGAGCCACACCAGTGCGATCCTGGGGCTTGCCTTTAAACCAGCATCAGGGGCTGCATAAGAACCAGTCGATTTTTTTGCACTCTGTAAACAATTATTGCACAAACGTGATACAGGATAAGATATCGTGGTACTTTACAAGTCTTGAGTGGGGATTGAACCACAACATGCGACCGTGAGGGAGAACACCGAGCTATTCATTACAAGTGCTAATTGTACGATGCGATCAGCTCATCAATGGAATGTGCGCCTGAATTGCGACCGACATTGGCCGTGAAGGGTATGCCAGAGGAGGCCATTTGTGTCATCATTGTTCCCGAAAGCTATGTAGAGACAGCGTCATCAGGCTCTGAGCGCTGGTGGGCCCAAACACCTGGCCCTGGCCGTACCCCTGCCTGCGTCTCCATCATCTTCCACTCCTTCGTGACCTCTCGTGAGAGAATGTTATCCCTACCCCTGATGGGAACTCCTACAATGCTACGATCAGCAGTTATGACGGAGGCTTGTCTGGAGCGTTTTCAGTTAATTTCAGGACTGAACTTTGTCATTGTAGGACCACATGAGATCACGCAGCACCTACTGTTTTACATTGGGCTACTGGAAGAATAGTAATTAAGGAATGTTTCCTTCAATCGTTCTCTGTCATACTTTGCTTGATTCTTCGATGTAAACCCTCCGCGCGAGGCTACTGAGCATGCAACTGCAGGGCCGATGTCCCTTTCGCGACTACAGCTCATGTTAATGTAGCGAAATGTAGTTCCACTTTCCCAGCGCACTTATTCGACTACCAGTCATAATGCTCGGCTACTTTAGACAGTTATTTTATATTTTTGTCATATTTTATGTTTTTTGTGTCATCTTGGCGCTCATCCAGTAAGGGGGGCATCAAGTGGCTGCCCTCACCCCCACCCCCCTAGACTGCCTACACTCCCCCTGGCGCACAGGTTTCTCGAAGTACGGGACCCCGTGAGCCAGGGGGAGTGAAGCCAGTTCAGGGGGTGGGTGAGGGCAGCTATTAGACGTTGCATCACAATGCCCCCCCCCCCTTACCGGATGAGCGCCTCGACGTTTTTTCACATATTTTTCTCCTAATTCCATATCGCAAAGTAACGCATAACTTGAGCAAATTGTCGTGCTTTTTCGTCATGTCACACCTCTGTAAATCCACTTGAACTACAGGTGCCACCAATCCCTCTCTCCCCTTTTTTGCTTCCACTCTGAGCCTAATCTCGCCATACAACACTAGCGATTGTCAAGATGGAACCTTTGTAAACGAAATTATTAGAAGATTCCTTCCCTTTCCTTCCTCTGACAAACATTATTATTTCGTAAATTTTTTATTTATTTTTCAGAACCTAATGGAACCTGTGAAAGCAAAAAACTATTCTTGAAATGGAATTTATCAATGAAAAACTTTCTACGCAAAAAATCTGCACTCATCATCGAATATCGTTGATTCGGATTCTTGACCAATGATCACATTTGTGATAATCACTGATCAACAACTGTTGACAAGTGTAGCGCAGCTAATTCGCCTTCCAAGGTATCGATTTCTGCAAGAAAATCCATCTTTCCGTTCCACTTTCCTCTTTGATTTCGCCGTGCATTTTCTTTTTTTTCGTTTCCTGTAATAAAAGGGCTTTTCAAGAGAAACTGCGATGCTCTACAAGCTTCTCATTTTTCTTGTTTTTGTTGGTGTTGTCGTGTGGAGTTGATTCTTGTTTATAAATAATGTTGTTCAGCGTAATGGATAAGAGTTGTAATAGCGCTGACCTCTCCAGGTGCCGAGCATTGCCATCAATATACCAAATGTCTTCCAGCTCAAGCCCTTGGACTGATCCATCCATCTAAATATTCGTTTATAATCCTGTGTATTAATAATTGTAACGGCCAGGCACACAGCCCTGGTGATGCTTTGACTCTACAAATTTCTTCAAAAAGAATTATTCAGTTTTGTCTGATTTGGCAAACTGAAAGGACCGGTGATACTCGCCTGAAAGAAGTGATAATACGCGCTCAGATTTCACAACTAATTCGAGGCAATATATTCCATTTTTTTGTCTCCAAAAATGTCATACATTTTTGATATCATAAAGAGGTTTCGTTCAAATTGACGATTTTTTTTAGAAAAATTATGATGTTCTCGCAATTCTTCCTATCGGATTTTTCACAATTTGTTTGGTCCTTCGCAAGGTGTGCGAGGGGTGGGAGGCAGCGTGCTGCGGAGCACTCAAGGCTTTCTGAGCCGCGACCAATGTTCCCATTTCGAAACATGCTTCGTCTCCTTGTTGTACAAGGGAAATGGAGCTGTAGCTTCCTTCTCGTGCGGAGAATTTGATTACTGTTGCTGGGATTAGCTGCTGCACCGTTATCCCGGGTGTGTTTCGGTTCTCCTCCTCAGGTCAGGTCACCAAAATTAAGACACACTCATTTGCTCGGAGCAAGCTTAGGACTAAGCCTAGGCCCAATCATAGGCTTAGCATAAGCCAATGTGTAAGCATAAGCCTAAACCTAAGCCTAACCCAAGCTTAACCTTAGGCTTCAATGATCGCGCAGCTCTGGTGACCTGACCCCAGGAGGAGAACTGAACGTCTCCCTCCTATCCTCCCCCTCTAGTATATCTACACCGATATTTCTTTCAGTATGAATTAATGGGCCTCTAAGAAAGAGAGATGGAATAGAATGGTAGCCGAAACTCGTACCTGTGCCCATCTCCCAGCGAATGGTCAATTGGTCAGTAAGGCTATTCGAAATGAAATGTATACATGTTCACGTGCCTCGAAATGCTCAGTCTAAATCTGTTGCTATCTGTGGAACGATTTCCTGAAAGAACCATGAAGTAGGAACCCTGGTAGCTGGTGGTAACCTTGACTCACAGGAAACAGGTCGTGGTATCGACTCCAGTTCGGGTCAGTACTTTTGCACTTTCTGAAATGTGTCCACAAAGACATTCAATATATCTCTGAAAAGAGCAAAGTCAGAACTGCCCTGAAATCCATCCCATGACCTCTTCCCTGTGAATCAAGGTCACGACGCTTCCCGCTTCATAACTTTTTCCAGGCAATCGTTCCACAGCTAATGAAACAAGATTTGAACTCAGCTTCCTCGAGGCGGACTGAGCAATCGACCTTTCTGCTTGAGCTATCTTTAGCTGTTCCCATTTCCGGTCCACGATTCGTCCAATTGGATATGGAGTGCAACTCACGTGTCGTTTTTTTTTCCTACCTTCCTCTCATATGTGCTAGACAAATTTTGGCGCGCGCGGACGTGCGGCGTCATTAGAAACATCACGCTGAAAATTTGCCATTTCTGCACCCGTCTGATCAAGCTTTAGTAGATTTGGCCTTCTCTATCGAAAAAAATTCATTGAGTGATAACGATCGCGACCAAAATACCAATTCAGCAATGAAAAACAAGATCTCGATGCAAACGTCATTAACCTTTTGTTTACGACCTGTCGGTCAATGTACACCCCGAAAGGATGGGGCGCGCAAAAAGTGCGGAACCGTTCCATTGTTGCTGCCTACGATGACGACATGAAATTTTACTCTTTGCACAGCTTGAACGAATTGCTGTAAAACGTGATGAGTCACGGAGAACAACCAGTAATTCCGACAGTAAATTGTATAGTGTAGTACTTTCGAAGGGCACAAAGTGACCTCTCAATCGCAGAGAAGTTGGTGATAAATCGTTCTTGCCTTATTCTCTGACGTTTTGACTGCGAAAAGGCGCACTCGCCACAGCCTACGTCGCTTTAAAAACTGAACATCGTTGTTCAGTTGCTATCATTTCTCCGTCTCTGTGACTACTTGAAGTCGCAATTCGCTCTCAGATCTTGGTCACTTCCATCATCTCCTGCACCTAAGAATGGTCATTCATAAATTTTCTCTTAGCGATCTTCTTTTCCCATGAAAACGCTCATCGGCGGTTGAAGGGGTAACAGGCATTGGGGAGTGACGTTTTGATCGTTTGTTTTGTTATTTGCCCATCAACCCACACCGGCCATCAGTGGTAGTCGAATCGTCCCGTTATCAGCGGCCGCGTGCCTGTGCTCTCTCGTACGGGTGCTTTATCACTTGTTCTAACTTCTCTGCGCTCTGTCTCTCTTTATTACCACGGCCGACTTTACAGAAAGTTCCAGTCCGTTATTTTAGTGTTTTCGATTATTTCTTTGGCTTCGTTTTCCTTATTCACTTTCTGCCCACTCCGCCCTCCCTATCATTGAACGCTCTAACACACCACCTTTATCCTGAGACGTGCTTTTAAAGGAGGATTGAACGATAATGTCGGAGGTCGAAGAAGAGGAAGTATATTTAGTGGGAGGCAGACGGGCTCTCTAAAGGTGCCTTACGATGTGCGTTTTACAAACACCTTTTTGCGCCGCTCTCGCCGCTGCCCGCCCACCCGCTCGCCGTGTGCCCGCTCACCTACTCGCCGTGTGACTTTAGCCGTTTCCGTAGAGAGAGAGCGATAGCGTTTATGAGCTCAGCACCGGTTGAGCTTGCCTAACACGCAAATCAACGGGAAAAGGTGGTCTCATTTCTCGGGTCCTGGGCCATATTCTTGTTTTTTTCTTTATCCCTGCATCACAGAGCACCCCAACCTTGATTTCTGATGAAATGCCTTTCCATCGTGAACTCCGCCTTCAGAGCCTCGGGTCGGAATTAGATGCCGAGAGCCAGTCCCTCCTTGAATGAGAAAGAGGGGTCTCCAAGCTCAGGAGGGGCGATACTGCGGCTCAAATATGGGCAGCAAGGGCTCTATGACCTGATCTTGTACAGTGCCGGCACTGCCGCTCCATCAATTGCAGCATACGTGGCGTCTGCGCTCTCTCGCGTACGACGTACTCTCTCGCGTTCCCCTCTCCTCGCAGCGCTGTGTCTCTCCGTCATACCACGGCCGACCTCACAAAGGAAAATTTAGTGTTTTCTATGGTGCTTTTTGCTTTTATATTCGCTAACGTTCTTCATCGCATCACGTTTCTCCTCGCGTTTCTTGTCTAATTTCTAACCATAGCGCACCAGTTCGGTCCCAAACTGCGTCTTTAGGGTTCTAGTGCATTCAGAGCGCAAGCTCTACACTTTAGTCTAGAAATGTTGGCGAACAATGTATTCGAGAGTATTGGCGCTGCACACCTGTCGTATGCATTCTTTTATTTGCGAACAGTACGTAGCTCAACCTTGTTAAAGGATCCAAACACCATTGCTGGGGTGATTCCTCTCCTACAGTAATATCCCCTTCAGAGTTTTCTGATATGGGCCTCCTTACTGACCATGATGTCAGAAGCTAGCTCTGTTCGTCAGGTGACAAGGATTCTAGCTCAAGTCGTCACAGAACAGGATCAAGTGTCTAGAGGAACGATCCAGTCTTCTTCGGTTTCATAAGTCATGGAAGGGTGCACACGGGGGGGGGAGGGGCAGTCGTCTGATTGCTCTTCTCCATTGAACAGTTTTTGTCGATTCAATGTCCGATGTGCCGCGTGCCGCTGTCGAAGCATGCCCGAAACGTCGATGAGCTGAAAATCGTGCCAAAGGCAACCATATCTGATGATGTATATCACAAAGAGGCACCAAAAATTGTATTTCAAAAGAATTCCAAAAAAGGGTCTGAGGAAGGTGTTATACACCGAAATATCGCGGAGGATTTCAAAGGATTCTTTTCAAATTGCTTTTTTTGTTTTTGGAATTTTGGAGTTTTTTTGAATTTTGTGAACTTTTGGAATTCTTTTGAAATAAATTTTGGTGCCTCTTTGTGTTATACAACATTTAGGTCCTGATGAGGCTCCGGGACAGCACAATACTAAGAGTCCAGTGACACAATACAAGATGCCTAGCACGATCCCGTGCAACTAAGGTCGCATCTGACATTAACCACTACAGTATAATACTATGCCTACTTTACGATCTCCCCATTCGAAGAACTTGATGTGTTTCATTATTACGAGTGCCTCCCTGATGCGTACCTGGCCCTCATGGCAGAAGTAAAGGAAACCAATTCTGGGAAAAGAATTGTTAAGAAAGAGAAAACAGTAAAAACACTGAAAAAAAACCTGAAATCATTTTGCTCCTTGCGAATTTCAATAAAGCGTTCCCCAGCATTCAGATTTATCATGTTTGAATAGATTTCTCCAATAGCATCTGAAGGGGCATTCCGTAGTCAAACAGCGCATACAACCATGTGTTTTGACAGCTGTCGCTATAGGCTCCTACATTCTTCTCTTGTCGTTCGATTTCAAGACCGTTCTTCCATTCCATTTTCACCTCTTCTTAACAAAACAGCATGTTCTAATTCTTACTCAACTTATTACACTCACCATCCTTTGGTCACTCGAACATTACTTTCGACATCTCCTTGTTGTTATGTTCCGGTGACATTAGCCACACTAAAATGGTGGACAGTTCCAATCGTTCACCGATATTTAGCACTACGGCCACTGTCTCTTACGGATAGGAAATTGCAATGGATTGCGAGGGTAAAGGCGATGTCGCAAAGAAAATCAAAGGCTTGTGAACTGCTCATGGCTGGCTAAGTTGGAGAGGTTCCAGTAGCGCATGCTGGCAGACATGCGCCACTGAACGGTCCTTTCGCGTTGGGAACAAGGTCGGTCCTATGGTTGGGACTTTTTGCTAAATTTTTACGACTCCCCCACCACAAACTTCATCAAACTACACCCTCCCGTTGGTACTAGTCCTAAGGTGTGTTTGGACTTTGGTTGGGTTGTGATCTGTTACTGCCTCCACGCCTGGTTCACCACTCAATCTTCAGTGACCTCACCAAAATTGCCCCGTCCTCCATCCATTGTGTTCACTGCCTTTAATAGTCACCTATGACTGCATTTAATACGCTTTGACGCATAAAGTTACTGCTTGCGACTACTTTGGTTTACTATGAGTTTTCTCGTCCCACAGGATTGTGGTCTGTTGCGCTTTTGTCACATATATCCACAAATACTGCCTTCGGGACTCTCAACAATATACAGATTTTTTTGCTGTTCAAAATTTCGATCTCTCTTGGGAAATTAAACCCATTGTATAAAAAAACCTTTTACGGCGATGCCCCCCCTGGCGCCTACCCACCCATCCCCGCCCCCCACCTCCCCAGATGAGATCACATTTGTGCTAGGAGGGTCTTTCGTCACACCGTCGGCTCTTGTGAAAGTCCGCATTTGCCGTCCTTTTCGTGTAATTTTTCTTCCCGGTGCTAGGGGTGATTAAGCGAGCGATAGGAACGATTTCGTGTGTCCTTTGTAAATCACCTATTACTCCTCCTATGTTGATGTAGCGTGGCAGGTGTTTGTTTCGATTTATTTCGATTTGATGCGTTTGTGATTGTCAAGCAATTAATTTCATGAAGAAAGATGGACAGAATTAAAGGTATATTGTTCTGATCGACCAAGGTTCACGGCTCAGACCGAGGGAACGAAATTGGTACGAGAGCAATATAAACCAACCTCGAAAGTGCTGGGGTATGGGAATAATACGCGGCTCGGAATCACGGATCATGGGCGGGTGCCAGAATAGCGAGTACGCTTTTCACGACTTCCCACCCGTGCGGCTGGCAGTCATCGTTTTACATATGTACATGCAGACGCATACACACAGACACATAAATACACATACACACTTCTACACATGCCATGCAACACCAAGCACACAAGGTGTACGTGTGTGAGTGCATGTATGTGTCTATGTATATGTATCCCACAGTAGTCGAAACATTATAAAGCGACTTGAGAGAGTGTTATAGTAGGCGCGCGCCTTTTTTTGTCTGCCTGCTGCCGCCGAGGCGGATTCCACCAGAATCGGTAACCATTAAATAAATCATAGGTGTAGTTACAATGTGATTCTTCTGCCAACGAGGTTGTTAGGTGGAACTTTATTAGTGGCCTGACGTTTCGACGAGATCATCTTTCCTCAAAGGCCCAATCCATCACCGCGAGAGTAGGACAGCGCCACTCCAGGTTAGTTATGGTTATTAACTTTAGTTACGGCCATAGTTACTAACCATAACTTACCTGGAGTGGCGCTGTCCTACTCTTGCAATGGTGGACTGGGCCTTTGAGGAAGACGATCTCGTCGAAACGTCAGGCCACTAATAAAAGTCTCCCTAACAACCTCGTTGGCAGAAGAATAACATTATTACAGAACAATGCCGAGGTTCTACGAAGAGAGAAGTTGGAGTCTGACAAATCATTTAGGGTTTTGATGGACTTCGCTGCACTCGAGGTAACACGCCTATGTGGTACTACTGTTTCAAAACTATTCTTCGCAATACACGGCGGGGTACCCATCCTAGATTGAATGCAATTGCGGATGCGCGATGTCTTTGTCCGAGTCTTCTCTATGCTCCCTTGTTTCTTCGTTCCACTTCCTGATCACGGCCTCCAGTGTTCCTTTGCCGTGACCCTCTCGACGCTTCAAGCAGCTGCAACAATGACGTACATTTTTATCTTATAGTATGCTATATCATTAGCTTCATGCTTAACACGTGGATGTGTTCTTTTTGATCGACCAAACCAAGAATCCATTTTCATAGTACCTGATATTGAGGAGTCCATATTCGAATCGCAAAGGGCACTGCTTTTTTTTTCTTTTCATCTCAATTTAAGATATTTTTCTTCTTTACAATCTACTTGTGCATATTCTACACCCCACCTCCTTACGCTTGGTACACTTACCATAGGCTGGGTGTCAGAGCCGCGATCTGTCGGTAGTTCGCTGAATTTTATTTGCGTATGTTGCGCGAACCTGAACGGGTTGCAAAAATGGCAAGAGGCCCGCAATGTTGAACATCTTGAAAGACAGCAGGGAATATGAAGAAACTCGGAAGCACCTGCAGTCCATCGCAATTCAACCATGTACTATTAACAGAAGTGCTGCAGATTTGGAGGAAACCCTCGTCAGTATTTCCGGGCACTTGTTTAGTTCCGGGACCCGTCGCTGCAAATCGTTTCTTTTTTTATTTGAATCCATTTTTTAAATTCATTTATGCTGTTAGCGGCTTAATGGGCTCTCTTAAGTGAATTAGATAGTTTCCTGCGTTAAACGCCGGTGTATGACGATGTTCCATGTATCTGCTGGACAGCCACTGCATAGCCTACTTCGATTAGCTCTTATCTGGCTCTTACTGGTGAATACTGTACTGCATGAACATCCACCATTAGCCGTAACCCACTAATTTGCTGTTGAATAACTTGTTCTGATTGATATCAGAATGGAAATAAATGTGTTAAGGTATAGCATTTGGCTTCAATACTTAAAGGAATCCTTCACGGAAAAATCATGATTCTATTTCAGCCATAAATCACTGGCTTGAGACTCATTATCCACGATAAGAGTGAAAAGAACAGAAATATTGCTTTTGTTTTGGTAAAAATTCGAAAAATCGCTGCGCGTTCGAATGCCCACGGACGTCTTTCACGAATGCTGGCGACGGGGATGCTTCCACTTGGTTCTTGGAGTGCCTTCACTAGAAACTCTTCCTGGCAGGGTCAACCGTTACGTTGGACCGATATTGGAGCGACGTTGGACCGATGTTGACCGCTCTCCGCGCCGGCATTCACTCTCGCCACCCGCGAGCCGTCTGTGTCTCCGTGCGTACGTTCACTCTCGGCATTACTCTCGTCGTCGCGTTGGACTTTGTCCAACGGACGGTTGACCCTGCTTCCTGGCCTTCTGCTTTATTGCATTCACATCTTACACTTCTACTCCATCCTATTCTATCGATCGATTTGTCTCTACTCTCCGAAATCGCGCGCTTTAACCCGATTCTTTCATTGCGTCGCCTGATACGTAGCCGGCCAAAGGCCAACTTCTTTCCATGCCTCGCCTTTGGCTCCGCCCGAATTACCTTCGATTGTCCATAGAGTGTAGTTTTTGTACGTTTGTTTCTCTTCGGAAACCGAATCTTCATGCGTGAAACTTTGTGTGCTGTTTCCAGTGATCACAACTGACACATTCATGTTAGAAAGAATGCAAGAATTTTCCGCGAAGGATTCCTTTAATTTGAGTGTTCGCAATGCAGCCATGAGCAGGGCTCAGATTTTGTAACACCCAGTTGGGCGCTCATGTCGTGGAGGATGTAGGGGGGAGGTGGGCATTCAAAACAATGAACCACTTACGGCACTTGGAACTAAACTTTAGGGAGTGGAAGGAACTTGTTCTTGTTGGAGGATGTTAGCAGCTTGTGTTTTTTCCTGACGCTTATCCTCTCTCCTGAGTTCAATCCTAGTGTCACCTATCATCGGATCTGTTTTGAATGTCTCTCCCTCCTGAGGCCCTGAACAACCCTGTTCTTACTGACTGTTAACATTCCTTATTTGTCAATGTCATTATCTGTCACACACAGTCAATATCTTCATATATCACCTAAGTCATTGCAAGCGCAAAGGCTTTCCGTAGTTGCAAGGAGCGTAATGATTCCATTGAAACTTGTTTTCTAAAGCCTGTTATCAATTACTGTCAACTGTTATCAAGTTCTCCCACTCATCATCTGTGGCCTCGTCCCACCCCAAATAATAGTATGCAAGCGTTCCACTGTCACCGCGAGTGACGTAATGAGTTCGGTCAGGCATTCCGATAACCGTTATCACTGCTTGTCAGTTGCTATCACTTTTCGCTATCCACCGTAAATGTTCCTGTCTCCTATACTTTATCGCTTATCAGTTTAAATACTCTTCGAAGTATTCAGAGTTGGCGATCGCATGTGCGATTAGGCGGCGATTAGGCGATTAGGCGATTAGTTCATGATGAAAAATATACGTATAGATTAGGCGAGTAGGCGAGTAGGCGATTAGGCGATCGCTCAATGGGCGGAGCAACAAATCAATACGTATCCTTCTCTCATCGCCTACTCGCCTAATCGCCTACTCGCCTACTCGCCTAATCGCCTAATCGATACGTATACTTTTTTGAATCATCGCCCAATCGCCTAATCGCACGTGCGATCGCCAAGTATGAACGCTCCATTAGCGGATCATATGTGGTGGGATCTCCACAAATCAGACTTCTAAAAAATTGCCTTATCAACCGTCATTGTTGTTTCGACTGTTTATCATTGATGTTTCAGTTTTACACACATATATCAGCTGATCTCGGTGCTATTCACTCTGTTTCATGTTCACTTGAAGTAACGACGTACTAGCAGTTGGAAGGTGTCGGCTTAGATGAGGTGAGTTGAAAGTACGTCAAAAACTTTCAGGAACCAGTCAAACACTGAAGAAATCGAAGTTCATGGTGTCTCTTTATTACGTTTT